TGTTTTTTTGTTTTTTGTTTTTGTTTTTGTTTTTGTTTTTTTTGAGACGGAGTTTCGCTCTTGTTACCCAGGCTGGAGTGCAATGGCGCGATCTCGGCTCACCGCAACCTCCGCCTCCTGGGTTCAGGCAATTCTCCTGCCTCAGTCTCCTGAGTAGCTGGGATTACAGACACGCACCACCATGCCCAGCTAACTTTTTGTATTTTTAGTAGAGACGGGGTTTCACGATGTTGACCAGGATGGTCTCGATCTCTTGACCTCGTGATCCACCCGCCTCGGCCTCCCAAAGTGCTGGGATTACAGGCTTGAGCCACCGCGCCCGGCCCGAGAGTCTGCATATCTAACCAGCTCCTGGAGGATGCCCATGCTGCTGGTCCTAGGACCACACTGGGGGCAGCAATGCCCTAAAGCAGCCCAATCCAGCCCCACTCCAATCAGTTGCCATGTAACCTTAATTTTTCCTACAAGGCATATCCCTTTGCTACGTTTCTTCCTTTCTGTCTCACTGTATATCCTCCCACCCCTTACCACTTCCCACCCCTGCTCAGATTTTATGCCTAGATAGCTTTGAGAGCCAAACTGTGGGAATCTATCCATTAGTGAATTATAAAATCAATCTATCGAGTAGCTAGGGACATTTGCAATGAATAGGATAGAATATTAGAATGCATCCCACAAAATGAGAGTTACATATTATTTGATCAGATGTAAAAATATTGATAACCATGATGTGAAATGGATTCGTTACTGCAGCTAGAGTTGAAAAAACGAATCTAAAAACCAGCGTTCTACAGTTACTTCTAGGTCTGTATTCCCACCTCATAGGCACACAACTGGCTCGTCTTTCTAAACCTCTTCAGTAGTCAGGCTACAGTTTCTTCAGAAAGCTTTAGCATTCCTTCGTTGTCCCTAAGCAAAGTCCAGACATGCTAGCCTGCATCGTGCAGCCCTCCTCACCCTGGTATCACCTGGCTTTCAACCCCAATTTTCTACTCTTCTCTGCCAAGAACTGACCCTCCCTTCAGTCTGGACTCCACGCTCACTGCTCCCTAAGCATGACCGCCACTTCCCCACCTTTGCACATGCTGCTCCCACGGCCTGAGCTGCCCTCCCTCTGGCACCTCCCGTTGAACCCACATCCATCCTTAAACCCACTTCAGCTCCTCTTTCTCCATGGCGCCTTCATCATTGATGTTTCCCCTGTAAGTGATACGGTATCCCTGAGCTCTCCTCATGTAGGAAACATTCATCCTTCTTGCCTAGGGTTGTAGCCATTCTCATATGTGCGTTATTTTTACACCTGAACTGTAAATCCCGCTGACAGTCAGAACCGCTATTTGTACAATTACTATTTGGGGATCTCGTTCATCTTATTTGATCTTTCTGTGCCTCATTTTAAAAGTGGGGGAATGTATACATGACAAGGCCATTGTGAGGATTAGAAGAGTGAACGCGTGTGAAGTGTTCAACATAAATTAAGCACTCACTCAATCCACGTTAACCGTTATGATTACTCTATCAGCACAGTACCTGGCACACCGCCTGTTTGTAGTAGACTCATAACAGATGCTTGCAAGTGAATAAATTATCCCCTATTAATACGGCACCTCTAAAAGTTTCTATTTCTGTTGTGAGGGCTCCCTGTTTCCTTCAACTCATCTACTTCTGAGAGCTAGCGGCTCACGCCTGTAATCCCAGCACTTCTGAAGGCCAAGGTGGGCAGATCACAAGATCGGGAGTTTGAGACTAGCCTGGCCAACACGGTGAAACCGTGTCTCTACTAAAAATACAAAAATTAGCCGGGCTTGGTGGCACTTCTGAGAGCTATGTCCTCTACTTAAGCAATTTAAAGATTTAGTGGGAGGCCTCACAATTATCATGCAATCAAAGTGTTAGCAGCAGCTAACCCAACTCATATCCCTGGAAGTGCCTGGAGAGCCAGGCAGCAGCAGCCTGTCAAGAAGAGCTGAGGGAGGCGAGTGCAGGATGCGGGCTTTCTCTTCTTTCCCCGCTCACAGACAGACACAGCCTCCACTCTCCCCCTCCTCACAGCCTGGCCTCCCTTTCAGCCAACTATTCCCCCTTCCAACAGCCCCTCTCTCACATTTTCTCTTCCCCTTGACTTGTCCTGCCTACTCTCAAATCTCTTCCTTCTTCATTCTTTCCTCCTCCCTATCTAAAAATAAGATTTTCTTTTTTTTTTTTTTTTTTTGAGACGGAGTTTCGCTCTTGTTACCCAGGCTGGAGTGCAATGGCGTGCGATCTCGGCTCACCGCAACTTCCGCCTCCTGGGTTCGGGCAATTCTCCCGCCTCAGCCTCCTGAGTATCTGGGATTACAGGCACGCGCCACCATGCCCAGCTCATTTTTTGTATTTTTAGTAGAGACGGGGTTTCACTATGTTGACCGGGATGGTCTCGATCTCTCGACCTCGTGATCCACCCGCCTCGGCCTCCCAAAGTGCTGGGATTACAGGCTTGAGCCACCGCGCCCGGCCTAAAAATAAGATTTTCTTTTCTTTTTTTTTTTGAGATGGAGTTTTTTGCTCTTGTTACCCAGGCTGGAGTGCAATGGCGCGATCTCGGCTCACCGCAACCTCCGCCTCCTGGGTTCAGGTAATTCTCCTGCCTCAGCCTCCTGAGTAGCTGGGATTACAGGCACGTGCCACCATGCCCAGCTAATGTTTTGTATTTTTAGTAGAGATGGGGTTTCACCATGTTGACCAGGATGGTCTCGATCTCTTGACCTTGTGATCCACCCGCCTCGGCCTCCCAAAATGCTGGGATTATAGGCGTGAGCTATTGCTCCCGGCCAAAAACTAAAATTTTCAAAAAGAAATGGAAGAAAGAAAAGATGTCTGTACATCTCCGGAAAAATAATGCTATTCTATCTCCCATGTCTGGTGAGGAGCACCAGTAGAGATGGATGCACTAACCTCTTGAGCTCCCATTCCATTAGAAGAGTAGATTTATCAAGTTCCTATAAGAGGCATTCATACTCAGCCTACTCCATGAAAGATCCTTCTCAAAGTTTTTATGTAAACAAAGCAAAATTCAAGCTGGCAGCTACAAAAATAACAGGCAACTGAAATTCTGCAGCATTTTTCAACTTTTTGAAAGGAAAGAAACAGCTCATGCCAAGGTAGTTAAGGCAACCTGGAATCTCAGCATCCGAGAATGTCAGCTATCTACTCCGAGTTAAAGCAGCAGAGGGGCGTGAGCCTGACGCCCTTGCTTATCTGGCTTCAGCGTTTCTCTCTGACAGAGCAGCAATGTGTCAATTGAGGGCCATGCCTCCCAGAGCAGCGAAAGCCCCAGGTTTACCCCACAGCACCGATGTTACAGTTGCTCTTAATAATTCTTTTGTTTTCTTGTACTATTTATGCTGGCTCACCCTCCATAGGGTCCCTTGGAAACTTTCCTCTTGCAGAATCACGCCAGGAATCTCGTTTGACTACAGATGGTTCTGTTTTTATCCATGGGAGTTTTATGGTATGGCGATGCCAAGTCTGGAATTGTAGGCTCAGCTACATGAGAAGTGTGTGTGTGTGTGTGTGTGTGTGTGTGTGTGTGTGTGTGTGTGTGTCTGTGTTTCCCTCTCTCTCAAATTCTCTAAATGCAATGTTCAAAATAAAATATGCCAGGAAAATGAAAAGCTAAGTCTCAAAACAATAAATATGCCAGATCCAGCTGCTACAAAAGCAGGGTACCACAAAACAACGTAGGGAAAAATGCTGATTTTTTTTTTCCTCTTTAACTTTGTTGATTGTATGCGTACAGTCAGGCTTATTTCCCTGTCAAACCCTAACCTGTACTATTCTTGGAGCCGTCCATATTCTATATCTTATTTTAGGCACCTGCCTTCCTCTTTCTCTCTCAACCTCAAAAGAGTCATTAACTAAGAACAAATGATTTATGAGGATTGAGAATAAGCTATTTCCAATCTCAGTGACAACAAAGGTCTCCTCCATTGGACCTGGTGCTAAATCAAAGAGCCCAGAAATATTTTTTTTCATTACCTACTTCTAAATTCTGGTGACACCATTCCCTCTTTTGTTTAACTATTTTCATTCTGCACTTTGGGCCTTTTTCCTTCAACAGAGACTATAAAGAAAAACTCTTTTGAGGCAGGGCGCAGCGGCTCACGCCTATAATCCCAGCACTTTTGAAAGCCAAGGTGGGCAGATCACAAGGTCAGGAGTTCGAGACCAGCCTGGCCAACATGGTGAAACTGTGTCTCTACTAAAAATACACAAATTAGCTGGGCTTGGTGGCATACGCCTGTAATCCCAGCTACTCAGGAGGCTGAGGCAGGGGAATCACTTGAACCTGGAAGGCAGAAGTTGCAGTGAGCCGAGATCATGCCACTGCACTCCAGCCTGGGTGACAGCGAGACTCCATCTCAAAGAAAAAAAAAAGAAAGAAAGAAAGAAGAAGAAGAAAGAAAGAATAAATGCCCCATCATGCATTCATTCTAATGATAATCTTTGTTATTTGAGGAATAGGGATCGTGTGTTTGTATTCTACCAGCAGGCGGAGGCTGCAGAATCTCAAAAGAAAGCAACGAGCAAAAGAGAAAGCCACTTCTGGGTTTCAGGACAAGTTCCCATTCTGGTTCCTTCCATTTACAGTTTCATCAGTTTGTGAGAAAGGTGAACAATAGACGATTAATCAAAATAAAAAATATGGCAAGGGTTATAAAGCCAAGCTACTCTTGTACTGACACCTTGAAGTAGTGGAGCGGATGATTCTGATGGCAAAAGCAACACAGAGAATCAAAACATGAACTTGCGTGAATCATGTCTTTATGACACTAATGGCTTACTTTCCTCGTCATCAGAGCTTTTTTCCACTGATGAGGAGGAAATCAGAGCCATAAATCCACTGAGTCATTTTCTGTTCCTTCAAGTTCATGATAAAGTTGGCAAACCGTGAGACAGATTGAACTCTTTCCAGAGGTACCTTCTGTGACGGATGTTATTTTTCCATTTTCTTGTCACAGGCCATCACAACTGGTGTGCTTCTACTGCTGGCTTACAGAGCGTGGACCCGGAGACACCTGGTAAATATACAGATGGCAGCATGGCTTTGAAGGTCAAATCACTATTAAGCGCAGTATGGAACATAAAAAATATGATTTCCAATTAGAATTGAGTTTGGTCTAATTGACGCCTTACTACAATGGATTTCAGTAAGAAACTGTGTTTTAAATGAATAATCTTTTTTTTTTTTTTTTTTTTTTTTTTTTTTTTTTTTTTGAGACAGAGTTTTGCTCTGTTGCCCAAGCTGGAGTGCAGCGGCATGATCTCAGCTCACAGCAACCTCCACCTCCCAGGTTCAAACAATTCTCTTGCCTCAGCCTCCTGAGTAGCTGGGACTACAAGTGCGTGCCACCATGCCTAGCTAATTTTTGTATTTCTAGTAGAGATGGGGGTTCGCCATCTTGGTCAGGCTGGTCTCAAAACTCCTGACCTCGGTGATCCACCCACCTTGGCCTCCCAAAGTGCTGGGATTACAGGTGTAAGCTACCACACCTGGCCATGAATAGTCTTTATCTGATCCCTGCTCCAAACATTTTCTACAAGTTCTTGTGATGATTATTGTATTTGGGGAGGGCAGAGCCAGTGTGAGTGCTCCTAAACTTCATTTTGAAGAAGTGGAGCTATTGGCTCCTCTACTTTTAGATAGATATAGATATAGATATAGATATAGATATAGATATAGATATAGATATAGATAGATATATAGAGATATACTTTTTTTTTTTTTTTTTGAGAGGGAGTTTCGCTCTTGTTACCCAGGCTGGAGTGCAATGGCGCGATCTCGGCTCACCGCAACCTCCGCCTCCTGGGCTCAGGCAATTCTCCTGCCTCAGCCTCCTGAGTAGCTGGGATTACAGGCACGCGCCACCATGCCCAGCTAATTTTTGGTATTTTTAGTAGAGACAGGGTTTCACCATGTTGACCAGGATGGTCTCGATCTCTTGACCTCGTGATCCACCCGCCTCGGCCTCCCAAAGTGCTGGGATTACAGGTGTGAGCCTCCGCACCCGGCCTGGTAATATATTTTTAAGTCTCAACTCCTTAATCTGAGATCTTCTTCCAATCTTTTTGCTACGTCTCCTAAAAAAGGATGAAAAGTCTATGCTATCTTGCATTTCAACAGCATAAAACCAGATCATCCCATGATACAGAAAGACTGTGGTATCTGATTACAGATTTTAATTCCCGCTGATGCAGGGCTTCTCAAACTTTAATGTATATGTAAATCAGCTGGAGATCTGAGTAACATGCAGATTCTGATTCAGTAGATCTGGGTGAGGCCCGAGATTCTGCATGTCTGCCAGGCTCCCAGGGGATGTCAGTGATGCTGGACCATGGAGCACACCCTGAGTAGCTGAGAACGTTGAGTAGGGATTTCTTGAGTAGCAAGAACCTTGAGTAGAGATTTTGTTCACTCATCTTAGTTTTTCGCAGCCCAGACCAGTTGCATCCACATGATGGGAAATACACAAATAAATGCTTGTTGAATTGAAGTAATTTAATGTTTTCCCTGGTTGGCCGGTATATTATTCTCCTGTGGTATAAATTGAAAATGAAGGGTGGGGGGAGGGAGAGCATCAGGAAGAATAGCTAATGGATGCTGGGTTAATAGCAAGGTAATAGGTTGATCTGTGCAGCACATCGCCATGGCACATCTTTCCCTAAAAGACAAACCTGCCCATCCTACACATGTACCCCAGAACGTAAAATAAAAAGTGAAAAAAAATGAAAATACAAGGGACATTTTCAAGGGAAAATGAAAATATAAAGAGAGGATCATGACCCATTTCTCCTTCATTTTCCAATAGGAGAAATTCATAGCCAGCATCTCTTTTTTCATTTTCCTCATATTGCTAAGAACCTTTCGAAATAGCTTGTCCCCGAAGTAACAATTCATTTTTGGTTTATTTTCAGTGGGAAGCTACTTTCACCTTCGTGATTTTGAGCATTATGGGATGTCCACTTCACTTTGCAATAGCCTTGGAATCTGCTCTCCTGGGCCCATATTGCTTCTATTCATTTTCAGGGATTGCAGGGACTAATTACCTTGGCTATGCAGTTGCCTTTCCTTATCAATATGCAAAATTCCCATTAGCCTGTGTGGACCCACCGCACTATGAAGAGTACCACCTAACACTTCAAGCCCTCGACCTGTGCCTGAGCTTTGCCCTGTTCTGTACGTCCCTGACGGTGTTCATCAAACTTTCTGCAAGACTTATCCAGCATGGACACATAAACGTAAGTTTCAACAAAGGGGGAGCCGGTTCTTGTTCCATCCTGTATGCTAAAACAAAAAGTCTGGTATGTGAATACTTGATCTTACTCTGTTATTTACCACTGTATCCTATATGCTCTTGATATCCAGGTCTGGCACATAATAGGTACACAATACTTGTTTTTGAATTAATAAATGGAAATATGTTGACATTATAACTGAAGTTATGGCTGTAGGTAGCACCAGTCAATTTTTATGTGAATCCACAATTTTTAAAATTATTCATAGGAGTAAGACAAGGGTGTCCACTCTCACTACTTCTATTCAGCATAGTACCAGAAGTCCTAGCCAGAGCAATTAGGCAAGAAAAAGAAATTTTAAAAATCCAAATCAGAAAGAAGGTCAAAAAATTGACTCGGTTTACAGATGACATGACCTTATATTTAGAAACCCTAAAGACTCCATAAAAAAAAAAGTTAGAACTGATAAATTCATTAAAGCTGCAAAACGCAAATTAAATGTACAAAAATCAGCTGTGTTTTTATACACTAACAACAAACAATCCTATTTACAACAACATCAAAAAGAATAAAATAAGGTAAATTTAACCAAGAATGTGAAAGATCTTTATAGTAAAAACTATATAAAAATATATATAATATATATATATTTGTATATAAGATATTAATGAAATAAATTGAACACAAAAATAAATAAATTTTAAAAACCTGTAATCATAAATCAGGAAAATTAATGTTGTTAAAATGTCTATTCTACCCAAAGCAATATATAGACTCAGAGCAATTCCTATCAAAAGTTCAATGGCATTTTTCACAGAAATAGAACACATAATCCTAAATGTGAATAGATTTTACAAAAGACCACAAATAGCCAAAGCAATCTTGAGAAAGAACAAAGCTGAAGACAACCTGATTTCAAATTATATTACAAAGCTAAAGTAATTAAAACAGTATGATAGTAACATAAAAACAGACATTACAACAATGGACAGATCATAGAGCTCAGAAATAAACTCACGTATGAATTTTTGTCCTAAAACATAATGACTGTGTTGTTCAGGAATGAAGAATATTTGGGACAAAACAGAAAGTGTAAGCCTGTAGTGAGTGCTCTATGTAAGTCGTAATAAGTTTAATAAATATATATATATATTTTTTTTGAGACGGAGTCTCACCCCATAGCTCAGGCTAGAGTGCAATGGTGTGGTCTCAGCTCACTGCAACCTCCACCTCCCGGGTTCAAACAATTCTCCCACCTCAGCCTCCCAAGTAGCTGGGACTATAGGTGCATGTCACCAAACTCGGCTAATTTTTGTATTTGTAATTTTTTTTTTTTTTTTTTTTTTTTTTTTGAGACGGAGTTTCACTGTTGTTACCCAGGCTGGAGTGCAATGGCGCAATCTCGGCTCACCGCAACCTCCGCCTCCTGGGTTCAGGCAATTCTCCTGCCTCAGCCTCCTGAGTAGCTGGGATTACAGGCACACGCCACCACGCCCAGCTAATTTTTTGTATTTTTAGTAGAGACGGAGTTTCACCACGTTGACCAGAATTGTCTCGATCTGTTGACCTCATGATCCACCCGCCTCGGCCTCCCAAAGTGCTGGGATTACAGGCTTGAGCCACCCCGCCCAGCCAATTTTTGTATTTTTAATAGAGACAAGGTTTCACTATGTTGGCCAGACTGGTCTTGAACTCTTGACCTTGTGATCCACCTGCCTCAGCCTTCCAAAGTGCTGGGATTACAGGCATGAGCCACCTCGCCCCACCAAAAGAAATTGTTTTTTTAAAAAGGGAGTTATATAATTCAGTTGGCTATAATTAAGAAGAAAGTATAATAGTTTTCCTAGAGATGGGTCTTTGATATTAAAATAATACACTAATATAGAACTAAATAGTTAAAACAATATTTTATTACAAATATTGGTTTATTTTTATGTAAAAAGTTTTAAATTTTTAAATTCTATGACCAGTCTCTTTGACATTCTTCAGATTGATATCTCAAAAGTACAGCTTTTTCTCTTTGAAAGGGACTTGTCTAATAGCTCTCTCCTTCACCTTTTGTTGGCTCCTGTAACTTTTATCATCTAAAGTAGGAAAGGGAATTTTTTTTAAAAACAAGCAAATAAAATATCCTGTGGAGCCAGGCATAGTGGCTCATGCCTATAATCCTAGCACTTTGGGAGGCCGCTACAGGTGGGTCATTTGAGGTCAGGAGTTCGAAACCAACCTGGCCAACATGGTGAAACCTCATCTCTACTAAAAATACAAAAAAATTAGCCCAGGCATGGCGGCAGGCTCCTATAATTCCAGCTACTCAGCAGTCTGAGGCAGGAGAATCACTTGAACCTGGGAGGCAGAGGTTGCGGTGAGCTGAGACCATGCCAACTGCACTCCAGCCTGGACAGCAGAGCCAGACTCTGTCTCTCTCTCTCTCTCTCTCTCTCTCTCTCTCTCTCTCTCTCTCGCGCGCGCGCTATATATATATATATATATATATATATATATATATATACCCTTTGCATACTTATATATTCACATGTGTCATGTGGAAGTGATACTGCACTTCCAAACTGCATGAAAGAGTTCTAATCAAGTAACTTTTAAAAATTAAGTGCCCATTGGACTCATAAAAGTTAGCTCAGATGTCATTTAATTCCCATAATTTTGGTAATCTGTGATAAAGTTAATTTAGTAAATTTAATCTGAAAACTCTCTCCAGTAATTAAAACTCTTAAAGTCATGTTAAACCCTTTGTTTTTATTTTCACTGGAAATTTGGATTGTTAAAAGTTAAAATAGCAGGCTGGATACAGTGGCTCACACCTGTAATCTTAGCACTTTGGGAGGCCAAGGCGGGCGGATCATGAGGACAAGAGATGGGGAACATCCTGGCCAACATGGTGAAACCCCGTCTTTACTAAAAAATACAAAAATTAGCTGGGCGTGATGGTGATCACCTGTAGTCCCAGCTATTCGGGAGGTTGAGGCAGGAGAATTGCTTGAACCCGGGAGGTGGAGGTTGCAGTGAGCTGAGATCACTCCACTGCACTCCAGCCTGGCGACAGAGCAAGACTCTGTCTCAAAAAAAGAAAAGAAAAGAAAAGAAAAAGTTAAAATAGTGGGAACACAAAATACGTTTTTGGTAAAGTTTATAAAACACAAAGATGTTGATTTTGCTTTAAAAAAGGAAAATAGTTTTTTTTCTGTTAAAAACTATTTAACGTTTGCTTTAAAATGAAGGAAAAATTACACAAATAAAACTAAACAATAGGAACAATTATGCCAGGCCAACAAAAGTTAACTCTCAACTCTGATTACAAAAAAAAAAAGTCAATATGGGGGAAGGGTAAAACCAAGGAACCATTAAAAAGCAGAGTATATAATGTAAGGGAATTGTTTCATTTCATAGATCGGTATCATCAGCTTCTTAAAAAATCTTTCCTATAGTGAATTGTAAAAATAACCACTTTAAGGACAAAATTATTAAATGTAAACGCTACAGAATGTAAGACCTTGTTTGGGTTTATGTAAGACTCATAGCTCACTACTAATCACTAACAAGTATATGTAATCCAAACGCACGGGAGGTTATTCCTAAGAGAACGAGCAGCCTCGTAAACTGGGTAAGTGCCGCTGTTAGGTCTGAGAAGAGGACTGCCTGACGCTCCCTGTAAAATACCCAGTGAGGCACCCCAAATGAAAGTTAATATGCTTCATATGCAAGCCATACTGGACTGGCTTTATGATGACTGGGCTATCCTCCCATCAAATAAACCCATTACCCCAGTCATGGTCAATTTGGGAGCTAAGTGGACCCTTTTACATGGGTGCCCCTCTCCAAGAATCAGAGGACCGATTAAGAAACCTTATCAAGACCAGGCGCGCTGGCTCACACCTGTAATCCCAGCACTTTGGGAGGCCGAGGCGGGTGGATCACGAGGTCGAGAGATCGAGACCATCCTGGTGAAACCCCGTTTCTACTAAAAATACAAAAAAAAATTAGCTGGGCATGGTGGCGTGTGCCTGTAATCCCAGCTACTCAGGAGGCTGAGGCAGGAGAATTGCCTGAACCCAGGAGGCGGAGGTTGCGGTGAGCCGAGATCGCGCCATTGCACTCCAGCCTGGGTAACAAGAGCGAAACTCCGTCTCAAAAAGAAAGAAAGAAAAAGAAAGAAAGAAAGAAAGAAAGAAAGAAAGAAAGAAAGAAAGAAAGAAACCTTATCAAATTTGCTGTCCATCATATGTCTTACAGATGCAACTAACTCCCTGCTGGGAACCCAAACCCTTTTTCAACACAAAAGGTAAAATGGTCTGGGAGTAGGAAAAGCCTGGAACCAGAACATAAAAGCATACGGATTAATAGGATTATAAAATTCAAGATGTTTATACAAACTTTATGTAAGTTGAATTCCTTTACCTAAACGTCTTATTAAAATGGGTACTGCATCTAACTGGGATGTTTCCCCTTTCTAGTACTACAAAATTGAAGGAATGTAAACCCGCTCTTTTAGGAAATGTTAATCAAACATGATAAATGGAAACTAGTAAAATCACCTAAGCCCACAAAGTATAGGGTTGAAGCTGCTGTGCGAGTCTCGAGGAACCCTCCACTGCATAGCCCTTTGTATGGAGCATTTATTGGGGCTGATGGCAAAAGACCGTGAGTACTTTTCAATAACAACCACTGAACTAGAGAATTTCCACTTAATGGGTCATTTATTGGCTCGCTATAGAATATTAACAGAAGCTACCCCTGTGCTAATGGAAATAATAGTGCCCAAAAGAATTCCATGATAAAATAAAAATGTTTTACATTAAAAAAGAAATAAACCTACACATATGAATCGAGTAATATTTGACAAGGGTGTCAGGAATGCACAGTGAGGAAATGACAGTCTTTTTAATAAATGATGTTAGGAAAATTGGATATCTACATGCAAAACAGTGAACTTGGACTCCGATCTCAGGCCACTCAAAGAAATTAACTTGAAATGGATTTAAGAC